TTGGTAACATCTCGCTAAGCCCTTAGCCTGCCCCTTGCCCTATGGATGTGCACATACCCCTTGGTACTTGCTGAGTACAGTTTGACTGTCTATTCTTTCTGCATTGAGTCTCTTCTGTCCTAGGTCATAGAACTCTGTGGATGAAGGATAGGGCCTTGCTGCCAAACTTGCACGGGACTTAGTAGGACTAATCTCTACTCTGGTATCTGGATACCTGGGCATGAGCGGCGAGCGCTCGTTAAACAACTCRTCTAGCCCAATGACCGGTACTGTCCGGCAGGTCTGCTCAGTTTCTGTGTAGAGGGTCCGAACTCTGAGCTGCAGGCTGAAACGGAGGCCGTCTTTAAGTGTTGAGGGCCTGTTGGAACCACTCCCCTACCAGACCAAGTAAGGCTGATGATCTGTGTCTGACGACTCGACTGTCCCGGGGGATACGAACCCTCCCAAGGACCGGTACAGACCGACGGGCTGCTATGTGGCACAATAGGCCGGGAAGGCTGAGTTGTGGGCTGAAAGCACAGGCAAAACCAAGCTGATCACGTCGTCCTGTCTGCGACGTTAAAGAATTCTTGAGGAGTTACGGGGGATCTCCTTAAATGCCTCCTGATCAGCCACTGGTTCAGTAGTGACAGCCATAGCATAGGGCTAGGCTAGAGACCATAGTTGACAGGGTCCTTGTGAGGATTTTGTGGGTTCTTAGATTGAGTCTACAGGTTTGTCAGTCAGGGGGTTAGAGTCTACATGGTGAGGAGTGGAATCATCCTGATTGTGCACCTATCACCATGGTTGAGACCCGTACTGGGCTAGAGACTAACCCCTATAGCAAGGAGCAGCAAGAAAAGATGGCCGCCTTAGTCAGAGAGAACAAGGAGAGAAAAGAGCGCGAGAAGCAGGCGAAGCTAAAGGCTATCGTCGATGAGCAGGCGGCAAAGATGAAGAGGTTGGAGGAGGAGATGAAGAGGGTACAACAGGAGGAGGAAGAAAGAATGAAGGCTGCTGAAGCAGACGCGGCAGCAGAAGAAGAGAAAGAGAGAATGAGAATTCAGAGTGGAGAAGGGAGCAATGGCGGCACGATGAAGTGGGAGACAGATACTGAGCTGGAGAAGAAGATCAGCGAGTGGGTCGCTAATTTATTGTTGGGGGAAGACGAGGAGGCGGAGTCCTATGTGACTAAGGATGAGAAGGCTGCGCTGGCCGCTGAGCTAGCAGCCATGACAAACCCAATGGAACGAAGAGATAAGGAAGACGAGCAAAAGTTAACATGGAAGTTGAGAATGAAGAGGGAGAAGAAGAGGAGGAGAGAGGAAGTGAATAAGATGACCGCAGCAGTGGCAAAGGTGCAGGAGTGTAGAGCTGAGGTGCTGGCCCAGCCAGATGATAAGGCCAAGTGGGACAAAGTACTGGGCTATCTAGAGGTGTTGAGCAAGGCCTGGATGGAAGAGCGCCAGGCAAGTTGGAGCCAAGATGTAGCCTTGAGTGCCATGCGGTCAGGGTTTAGAGACTTTGCGCGCGAGATCGTCACCCATATTGGGGGCGAAGTCAAACAGTTGAGAGACAATGTAGGGAAGTTTTGTGAGGGCGCCATTCAGGGTGCCAAAGCTGTAGCCGCCGCAGAGGGAGAGGCCAGGCCCCGTAAGGACCCAGTGAACCTTAAGTTTCCGGATGCGTACGGGGGAAAGAAGGAGAAAACTTTGACAACTGGGAAGCCAGTGTCAATAGTTATATTTATTTGCAGCATATCTTGGTCGAGGAACAAGTCCTTGTGGCCTTCCAGGCCCTCAAAGACGAAGCGGCTAGCTTCGCTAGGTCTCTTGCGCGTACAACCGGTTGTGAAAACAACCTGGTTGCATATTCCAAAGTCACTCCTCTTTCCCAATTCCTCAAGCTCCTCAAGGAGCGGTTCGCTGACCCAACGTGAGGCATTAGAGCCTCTGATAAGCTCCAAACAATCCACTCCCGGCAGTGGAGGAGTGCCAAGGCACTCAAGGGTACTATGGACGGCTTGGTAGCCGTCCCGGACCACGGGGTCACTGAGCCCCAGCTGGTCCAGCTGTTTTATCGTGCCATTCCGGAGGCCCTACGCGGGCATTTCTTTGACAAATCTCATCAGGCCGGCATGACTTACGATGCATTGAGTAGAGAAGTCGTCCTGTATGAGTCGAAGTCTATGCCAGTTACCACTTTCTGGCATAAGGACCTGGAGAAGGGGAAGAAGTGGAAAGATCGTACCATCTCGGGCCAAGTCAAGGCCAAGGATCACTTGATCCTGACATTAGAGGAGGGTGGTACAGAAAGGTCCCATATGATCAGATTGAGTGGGGCCTAGGGGAGGAGTACAGTAGTGTAGGGCAGGGGAGGTCTTACGCTGTTATCGCGGCCGGAGGGAGGCCGCAAGGTAGATGAGGAGGCCAGGGCCAAAGGGGCCAGGCCATGGGAGGCCGAGGACCGGGCGCACAGGGGGTTGGCGGACAAGGCAACCGCCAAGCGGGAGGTAGGGGTCAAGGTCCCCCATTAAATCGCCAGGGTAACTGGTCCCCACAGCGAGGAGGTGGAAGGGCACCTCAAGGAGGATGGCATCCAGGCTTGCTGCAGAGCAGGCCCTGGGAAGACTTGGGTTTGGACCAGCGATTATGGCAGGAACGCGTGAACATGGGTCAGTGCGTATTCTGTGGTGACACGGCGCACGTAATAAGATTTTATCCAAAGTATAGACAGGCCCGTTGGCCTGCTCAGCAGTCAAAAGGCAGCCGCCAGTAGGGGTCGCAACTGCCCCTACTTCCAGGCCATGTGGAGAAGTGAGCGCGCGCGAACAGGACACTCCCAACCCACATGAGCCTATGGCAGAGGTTGCAGGCCCGTGCCTAGATAGCTGTCCAGAGACTGCTTGTGTTAGCGTCTCTTTAGGCACGTCCCTCACAGGCGTGGCAGAAGAGTTAAAAGAGAGAATGCCAGCCTGGGCCAAAATGAAAAGGGAGAGTAAGGGACAACTGATTTTGGTAGATGTAGAGGTGTTCAG